TCCTCTTCTTCATAACAAACTTTGTCTTTTCTCAGGCCCCAAGCTTTCTATATTTTCTTCCCTAACCAATAAAGCTGAAGGTAGACACAACCTCTCTATCTTTATCTTCTTAAACATCGATGGCATGTGTGTTCATTGGCATGCTAAATGGCACATATCTCCTGGTGAATTTCAATGAAGTCTTTTTTTTCCATTTTTCATAGCTTTACAAGACAGTACCTGAAACGCTTCATAAGATCTGCTGATAAATACTTCATGGTTGGCTACAATGTCATCTTTTACATCTTGACAGAAGACTTCTACAATCTACCGTACTTAGAGTTGGGTCCTCTTCGGTCATTTAAAACATTGGTGATTCTTGATAGAGATTACAATGAAGACTCTATTCTCAGAATCATGAAGAACATGAAAAGTAAAATCATACATCACATCCAATATGAGGTCAACTTTCTCTTCACTATGGCTGTGAACCAGGTCTTCAAGAAAGAATTTGGAGTTGAAACTTTGGGCCAATCTGTAGCTCAACTCCACTCATGGTGGTATTTTAAAACCCCCAGAGATTTCCCTTATAAGAGAAGAGTTAAGTCAGCAGCCTTCATCCCCTTTGGGAAGGGAGACTTCTATTACCACAGTGGTATTATTGGTGGCACATCCAGTAATGCTTTAACTTTCATTAAACAGTATCTAAAGGGAATTGCAAATGACAGCACAAATAAACTTGACAGCTCATATGAAAGACACCTAAATAAATATTTTTTAATCAATAAACCCACTAGGGTGTTATCACCAGAGTACAACTGGAATCCAAAATTTAAAACTCCTCCACAGATAAAGCACATTAAGGTAGCGTGGCTTCCATAAAGCACTTGATGGTTGTGTCACAGGTTTATGAATTCACAAGTAGATAACAGGAAATACTCAAATATAAAACCTGGGACATTTACAAAACTGCATAATCTTCTATAATAAATTATCTATCTTTGAAATTGTAATACTATTTCATCTGAATAAAAATAAATGGATAAGTATTACTCATATGATGTAATGTTTTATATAGGCACTATAAATAACA